GCAAGAAATGTGAGTGAAAGAAAAATAAGCAAGAAAAAAAAGCGTTGCTGTTTGGTTTGGTACTTTAGAAGATTGTTGATTCAAAGTCGTTGGATAGGACTCTTTATTCCCCCAGAATCGTGTAGAAAGAACTTTGACAAGCTGACTTCAACAGAAAAAATACACGATAGAAACAGGTGTCAAATGAAAGTGCCTCCAAATTGCCCAATTTTCAAAGCCATCTCAATTCAGCTATTATTGAAAATACTACTCAAAGACAGCACTGTTCTGTATCACAAATTTGAGTAGTATTTTCAGTAGCAAAAAAAAAAAAAATAAAAATGAAAATAAAAAGGTTTTTTAGCAGGCATAGAATCGAGCCAAAGCTGATCATCTGACATCATATTGTACATTCTTAAAGCTCAATGTCACAAATTTTTTTTGAATGTTTATTTGCTTAAGCAGGTGTTGATCTCCGAATTAAAATATCAAAAGCAAATTATCCGATAACTGTGTCTTTAGACAAGCTCTATTATGTTTGGCATTTAAATTCAATACCAAATTCAAAAATGTGATTTAAAATGAATTACTCACTAAATTTTTTTCTTTAGGAAAAACATTTTGTGAAGAACCTTAAGCTGTACCGAAAAGTAGACTCCCAAAGCTGAGTTGTAATGTAATTCCGAACTGTTAGAAAACTGAATCAAAAAAGTGAAAACATCCTTACTGACTTGCGGGATTCTAAGAATTTTTACAGCTCAATTCGGTTTTTACGCTTCACAGACGTTATTTCTGAAAAACCTGAAACGTTGAAAACAGTGCAGTAAAAGGTGTTCGCACTTTTTATTACACTGTTCTTTATGTTTCAGTTTTTTTCAGAAAATGAGTGTTTATATAGAACTTACGTAAGGAATTATTGAAAGCAGTGGCAAATCGAAGAAAAATTGGAACAAACCTGAGTTTCCTGAATGTCTGGTTACATCATTTTTGCTATTATACAATTTGAACAATATTGCACAATTTGAAGTGAATTTGTGGCATTTGAATCTTTAGTGATTTAACAGATCGCGTAGTGAATCTGAAACCAACGTGCTGTTCTAGAAAAGAACCACGTTCCCCAGTCGTACGATTGTTTTCTAATTGTCTTGAAAGCGAAAAGATTTGGCTTACACTAAATTTTTTCATTTTATTCTCGTCATATTTCTTTCATTGGCAGTTAAGCTGTATGAAACAGCCATTAACCCTAGGTTTGTTTTATATTTGATTTTTTCTTTCATTTTATAGGTCACTGCAAAAATATGGTATCTAGGTGCATTCAACATTAAACTCCAATAAAAGCCTTCAATCTGCGTGAAGATTTCAAGTTAGTTTTCCATATGAAGTACAGATACACAGTGGCGCACATGCACGTTACGCGTTTAATTACTGTCCCGAATAAATCCCTTTACAAATTTCAGGTTAAATAGTTTTTAGTAAATTATCAACAAAATAACTATTAGCGGCCAGATTTATTTCTTGAAATTCTATTTCATTCTGCAACCGTTTCATGTTTTATCAAAAAAAAAAAAAAAAAAAAAAAAAAAAAAA